TATGGGATGTAATACCAGAGCTAGAGAGGAAAGGCAGGAGAATCATGAGTTCAAGGCCTGCTTGGGCTAGAAAGATAGACCCTGTAAAACAGAAGGAAGGAAGGGAGGGAAGAAGAGAGGGAGGGAGGGAGGGAGGGAAGGAGGGAGGGAGGGAAGGAGGGAGGGAGGGAAGGAGGGAGGGAGGAGAGGAGAGGAAATATAAAATGACAAATTATAGCTCAGTGCTAGAGAAGTTACACAGCATGTATAAAGCCTTGGGCTCCATCCCCAAAACCATAAAAAAAAAACAAGATAAAACAAACAAACAAACAAACAAAATGCACTATTAATCCATGCATGCCTTAGTTTGAACTGTACATATAGCTCAGGGATTGAGCATTTGCCTAGCATTTACAAGGTTCTGAGTGCTGTCCCTTATACCTCAAAAAATACACTGAAAAGAAAACTGAAAACTTAAGATGGTAAAACAATAGTTATGAGTTTTCCTCAAAAAATAAGCAATTATGCATGTGCAGATTAAGCTGTTAGAGCTGCCCCATGAAGCAGATATGTGGCCAAAGAAATCAAAGTCATAGTCTTTGGCAATTTAAGAAGTAAGGTATGCAATGTCTAAAGTAGTAGTTTGGGAGCTGATGAGTGGGCTCAGCTGATACAACACCTGCCACCAAGCCTGACAACCCAACTTCCATGAGGATGACCTATGAACATACACACATTCGATCACCTGTGCACACTGTGAGTGTACACACACACACAAAAAAAAAAAACAGATTAATAAAAAAGCATCTTAAAGTACTATCTTAGAAGCCACTTGCTTCTATGTGTTTTTGAATTCTTCCAATTACTGCATGAGTACAGGTCAAACCCACACATTGCATTTCTTACCTCCAGCCACTCTGTCCCAGTACTTTGAGCAGAGTAAGACCTTAACAAAAGTTTACTGAGCACATGAATGTTTAACTTACATGTATATAAATATATAGCAGAAACCATAAATAGCAGGAACTGAAGGCTGTTCCTGCAATGCAGTGTGAAGGTAGGCATTTGTACTGACTCGGATTTATTTTTAAGTTATTCAAATATACAATTGTTGATCCAAAAACTTATGATTTTCCCTTGAATTATATATTAATTATCATGATTTCTTTTTTACTTTCTCATCTGTCTGAGAGACTATATAAAGACACTCAGAAATGTGTGTGTGTATGTGTGTGTGTGTGTGTGTATCATAAGCTATATTTCATCAGACCTCATAGAGAACAGCTCTATCATGTCCATTCTCTTGGCCATTCCTAGCCATTTTCTTTTTAAGAGCATTCATGTGTTCAGTCCCAGTAACCATAGGGGGATAGCTGCTCTGTTCACTGCTGCCATTGCCACTATCCCCTGATCACCATGGCTAATCAGGTGGCAAGCCAGCCTGCACCAATCATTAAGGTGACCCAAATTAACAGCCCAGCCATGTCACAGTGTATTCATTCCACATATACAGACATGGCTTAAGTATGAGGCAGAATTGTGCCTGTGCTTATCTGTGTTTGCACTGCAGCAGGCTTTATTGATTATCATGATCTGCTTTGGCACTCAAAATCTACAAATGGGAATTATCTGTGAGTTATTCCAAAGACAAAGCGGATGTGCCTTTTCCTACAAGCGTTTCTCTTGATTTGTCATTTTCCTCCAGTTGGATTGTAAAACATCACAGCTTAAAACATGCCCACCTCTTTATTTGGAAGGAATTTTTAATCATATTAATTTTCTATCTAAAAAAAAAAAAGCTCATTTTTTTTCTCCTGGCCAGGTAAAGAAGGTAGTGCAGGCTCATAATTGTGAGTTCGTCATGAAAATTTTGTGACCCAATTGTCTTGTAGGTGGTAGTCAGTAAAACTCGGTTCTTGACGGTATAGAAGCAGCCTTATCTGAACAACAGCTAGAACTGTTGGCACCTTGCAATGCCCTGTGTAGATTTATCCCCCAAATATTTGCATTCTCTATAGCCATTTTTCTACACTATAGTCCAATAATTAGAGGGTCCCATTACCTGCTAAATGCTTGCATAAATTAACAATCCATTATGCACAATAAGTTTTATAAAACATTTACAGATAGAGATCATGTTTAATTAAAATTAGCTTCCATATGTAAGCCAAGTGTGCACTAATGATCCACAGTGACCTTTTATTACCTATAGTCCCTTGTTTTGGATGGATGATTGACAGCTTGCTGTTTGGCTACCATGTTGAATTTTAGCTGACAAGACTTTTCATTTTAACTCAATTTGCCCGCCTATCACAAGCTGGTGGCAGGCCAGACCCCAGTCACCCAGCTTTGCCTCAGCAGCTTGCTCAGTTCTCATTAGTACGCATTTATTCAGTGGGAATTGGAAGACAAATGCTTGAAGGCATGTGAACTAAGTATAGCAAATTAGGTTTAAAGACTGAATATTTATAAGTAGATGGAAAGTCGTTGTTTTTTAATTCTAGAGCGAATTGAGAACCAAGTACTAGCTTTAGTATAAAGGAAATGAAGATAGAAAAAAAGACAATTCTAAGAATAAAAATACTATAAGCTTTTCCCTTCCATTTTGGAAATATGTAAAGTCTCTCTGACAACACCTTATCCAATAAAAACCTGGCATCTCTTTCATGGAATGCTTGCACAATTAAGTTTAGCACCTCGAGTGTGAGAAGGGAGGGAAAAAATCAGGGTCATGTTCATTTGTTGCGTGGTTATCCCTTGGTATGTTTTAAACTGCCTTGTTTGTTCGGCACTAGCATAGAAACAGATGTTGCTCTACCGTGCAGGATAATTTACTATACCTCCTGGTGTAGCATGGAAGTCCTCCCAGGGCCCAGCTGGTCTGTCAGTGGCACTGGCTGGTGTCTGCTCAACTATGACAACTACAAGGAGAAACTGCAGCTTTTTCATTGTGCCCTTGTCATCCTTCTCAACATATAGCTCTGCCCACATTCATTCTGGGGCTGCTGGAAGTGCTGCTGGCTTTTGTGTCTTTATGCTGTACTGCAGACCCCATAAGCTCGCCTCTCCATTGGTGATAATAACACAACTCATTACTTTTGTCGCCTAATGATTATCGGCATGATTGCTCAGAGCAGGAGCCAACCTCGTCTTGCACACATAACTGGTACTGGAAGGTAAAACAGATTTGTCACTTACGATCTGACTGCTGAGCCACACTTTCAGCTCCATTATTGTGATTAACTTCTGCATAAGATATGCTTGCCCAATTGTCATTTGTGATACTGCAGTAGGCACAAGCTGCCATGCTTCCCGAGAGCACACCAATCAGAAATGACCATGTTATCCGAACTGTTAAATGCCTACCCTGTCACAGCAGCCCACCCCAAGCATTATTTTGCTGTTGTGTTTCTTCTTCCCACACCCCTACTGGACTTGTTGTGTGAACAGAACTACTACATATGTCAGCTACTATTTTATACCACATGTTAAAATGATGTTATGCTACTGTTGATCCAACAGGACCAGCAGTAGGACATGGGAAGCCTATCCTTGATTTTCACCATAATAATGTTGGTTGTTGGTGTCTGGCCAGCTGAAATCTGTCATGTCAAGTGCCTTGTGGCTATCTGCAGTAGAGTTCATGTTCCAAAACTAAAGTTCTTTTCTGGCCACATCACCAGCAAACCGATTTGACTCTGCCTGATTATAATAACGAAGGCAGTCTAAGAGAATATGCACAGCCTCACTGTACGTCACATTGAATCACCACACTGCCCACACTGAGCTAACCGAAGCCTCATTTCTTTAGACAAATGTGTGCTCAAGGAAAAACCTTCTGGGAGAAGCACCCAAAGCTACTTCGTATCCCTATGCAAGCTGTTTTTAGGTTTAAATCTTACTAAAATAATATTTATTTTTTTGTGCTTTGCTATATACAAGCCACCTCTAATGGGTCTGTCTTTAATAATCTAATAACTAGGGACAGGCTATGCCAAAACTGTGCTCAGCACCAAGAAACTAGGCTCCGAACATGTGTATGTGTGTGAGGCTTCTATATTGTAAGTCATAAACACAACCACTTATTATCATGTGAAAGGGGGGAAGCTCCATTTGGCGCTCTTTCCCATTGCTGATTAGAAAGAATCCGGCTTTCTATTCCAGGACCCATTCACGCTGGTGGAAACACAGTCAGTTTTGATTATGAAGGGAGAGATGTAGCTCTGGACAGGAGCTACACACTGATATGCATGCTATCAGAATGATTTATGCAAATTATGCATATTATTCCCAAAGGAATTCCTCCTCAAACTGCCAGGATAAATCGCCGGAAATTAGCCATAAAATCTGCCGTGCTAGGAGCAAAAGGTGAAGGCCACTGGGAAAGAAAGGACATTCAGTTTCTGGAATCTTCCAGGATATGGTGGTGAATGTTATTATTCCTGGATACTAAGAAGAAATGTGGTTTTCTTTTAAATCATAAAAATTTGTTCCTTTGAAAATTTTCGAACAAATGCTGACTCATTTTATTTACAACTAGCATAAGAGAAATTAAGAGTTAAGCTGTCTCCAAATGTTCCTAGTATAATTAACTTTGAGTTAACTGTCTAAGGGCTTTTATGTGGCTAAACTTGGCTTTAAAGGCAACACTTGTCTACAGACTGGTGAAGTCGTGTGCTGTGACAGGGATACAGTTTCACTTTATTATACATTTGTGTCCCTAACAGACTACTCCTCTCCTGGAGACCATTCCTTTTCTCTGTCCATAAACACTGTGCCTAGCCCCTGCCTGTAAATCCCAAAGGTGCTGTGGAAAAGCCTTCCTATTAGACCTGCTGCTGGCACCAGGTCCTCCCGCATCAGCATCCACAGACTCACTGACATTCTCTCAGTTTTCAATGGATGTGAAGATAGTAGTTGCCTTCCAGGCAAGGTTGTTGGTCAAGAGTTCTAACAGTCAACTGAGGAAGTTTCACAGAGCATTCTCTCGCCTTACAGGAGCTGTGGCTTGTTTCTTTCAGAAAGCACTATTCTTGAGGTTCTGAGGCTGTGCTCATACTCCAGCATCATCCGGGAAGTACAAGAGGATATGGATTTCAGCTCAGAGAGTAGGAGCTACTCTCTGCGGAAAGGAGACTTTGTAGCTGTCTTTCCTCCAATGATACACAATGACCCAGAAGTCTTCGATGCTCCACAGGTAAATAAGCATGCTGACAGTCATTGCCGATGAGTAAGCAAGCTCACTCCTGTTCACCCATTCACTCATTCCCACTGAAGACTTGAGGCAGCTTGAGGATGACATATGTTTTATCCCCCTAATAGGAAGGCTTCTGCCTCTACAGAAGTTTTTTTTTTTTCCTCTAAGAATCTGACTTTGACAAATTATGTGATCTGTGAACAGAAATCCAGATAACTCTAAATGTTGCTTAATTCAAATGAAGTGGACATTTTTACCTGGTCACCATTACCTTTAGCCACCAAGTTAGATGGTATTTGATGAGGAATTTCTGAAATCCATTGGGGGATAGCTATTGATATGTGGCATAAAAGTCAAATAACAGAAACTGACTTGAGAAGTCAAATACCATCACCACTTTAGTTAGGCCAAAATAGTATTTAAGCCCTTTTAGCTAAAGGTATGTGCCCTGCTTGATCAATTAGCATTGCACTATGAACTTCAAATTGTAAAGCTGCTGCTCTCCGGTGAAGCTCTGAGGGTAATTGTGTCATCTTCTTGTATTTTTTTTTCCTGAAGCTGGAGTTAATGAATATCAAAGACTGGAAATTAATCCATTCTCGTTCATCCCTTAATACCACTTCAGAGAGTCACCCCCTGCATGCAAATTGAGTGCAGTTACATTCTTCTTGTGCTTTGCATGAAGGAAGACTCTGACTTCTGATATTTACTGATCACCTTTTGAAAAGGAAACTTCTATACTCATTTTAAATGTTTCATAGATAAACCACTTTTAAATATAGCTTTTAAGACACATGTTCTGCAGCTAACCTGAGTTGAATATTAAGAAATTAGTAAGAGAAAGGACTTCAAAAGCAATGACATAATTTGTATGTATTTAACCAATAAAGTCAATGTCTTAACAAGAAAGGAAAGTGTTGCATGGTTTCTTATGAGAAGGATTATGCAGATAATGACAGCCAAGAGGGTGGTGAGCTTTGGCCAATGAGTGAGCATTCTCCAGAGGACAAGCTTTATTTCTGAATTTGTGAATAACAAAAATTACATTTATTAGTATAGAAGCAATAAATAAAACAACTGAAATTAAATCTGAAAAATATTTGCTAAAATGGTACCATTTCCCCCTACAGGTTTTCAATTCTACTTATGGTTTTCTTTGTGATTATTCAATTAGCAGCAGAGTTTATTATTTATATCATGAGAGTTAAATCAGAATTACTGTTGTCATCAAATAAATAAATGTTTACCAGATTGCCACCATCTCTATAGTCACCATTCTTTCTGCTTTTCCCACTTCCCACTCTTTTGACTCCATAGTTCCTTTGTTTTTAAATCTGATTGATAACCTTAGGAACTTGACATCCAAAATTATGCATTATAAGTGTTAGGGCTAGGCATGATGAACCAAAACCCAGCAAATCTCTGTTTGTTTGAATCCAGCCTAGAAATGTGTCCTATCTCCTATCCAAACTGGGTATCAAGTATTTCAGTGTTGTACCATTTCTATTGTTTGTAAACTCTAAATATTCAGCCACTTGCCATTCTGTGTATGATCACATTCACACTCAGAACCTATCTTTTCTTCAAGAACATGAATATTGCTTTAAAAATAGACATTAATCTTATTTGCTCATTAGTACAGCAAGCATATGTGGAACCCTGCTATGGGAGTATCACTGTATTGCAGGCTGTAAAAATGCAGAGGTAGGCTGAGAAAAGTGAATCCCCTCTCACTCTGCCATCTTTCATGAGCTCGTTCTAGTTTCTATCACCTTTGCATGATGAGGTACAGAGAAAGTCTGATCACAAGCCATTGGTTTCTGTTCTGCTGTCTTTCCAAGCAAAGGACTTCTTGAGGTCCTTTGTGACATTGATCAGATCGCTTCAAATTCCAGGCTCCAATGCAGTTCAGTGAATGGGAGCAGCTCCAGGAAACTCTAGCAGAAGAATACCTAGTGAGCAGTAGGCATGTTCGGTGTCTTTTACACCTACTCCTGCTTCTAACACCCTAAGGTCTCTCAAAGGATTTAAATGATGGTGATCAACGCCGATTTTAAGTGGAGTTTGTTGATCTTTGCTATCTCAAATAGCCCGGGTAAGATTATTATATGCTTCCCTTTAGGGGCTAAAACTAAACTAAGTCTCTAATGGAGACTTAGGCCTTCCTAACATGGAACTGTTCAGGTTTCCCATGCATATGCAGTGGAACAAATTGAAAATAATTTTTATTCAAATATATTTTCAAACATTATTTGAAATGATGTTTCCATGATGATGGTCACAGAGCAAATGCTACTGGTCGTTTTCCTTTTAGTTTTACTAAATAAAGCATAAAATATAAATTTCTGAGATATTATTTCTGAGCAAACTAAAGAAGTAGGACAGAAATTTGAGGAGCTGCCTTGGCATCTCACAAGACAGCCTTTTAAGTCGCTTAGGAGAGCCTGGGAAGCCATGATCGTTTGGGGTTTAGCTTACATTATTTGGATACAATGAAGCCATAAATCATGTTAAATTTCCTCTTTTGCTTTTTCTAGATCAAATACCAGAACTATAATGAATCTTTTTTGTTGGGTTCTGTTTCATGTTAAATTTTACTTAAGCTATTTAGCCTTAGCAGAAAGCTCTAGGGAAGAACAGTAATCTGCTTAGTTTGGTCATCAACAAGAGTGCTAAAAAGTGCTAAGAGTGCTAACAAAAAGGGTTAGTGCTGAGTTCAGGAAGGCAGGGATGGGCCACAGAGGTGAATAATATTTACCAGGAGAGGGTTTCATGTGCTATTAGGAACATTGTATGTCCACCGAGACTATCAGGACTTTTACTTCAGGGGTAAGCAGTGTTTTCAATTCTGCTTTGATTAGATTTGTTTGGATACATTCCATAACAACACTAAAATATACATCTATTTTAATCTGTTTAAAGTATTACTTGTTAGGAAATAAATAAAACTATCAAATGCTAAATAATTTGCCAACATTATTTTATGGACTTGCAAGATGGGAAGGAGTAGGAACTGTGCAAAGGTTTTCCAAGCTCAAATACTTAAATTAAATATTCTGGATAAACTAAAGTAAACCAAATTCTGATAAGGGAAATGATTGTCCCAACCCTACCAAGTTTGCCATTAAAATGATTTGGACATTTGTAATGCAATCATAATTTATTCATGTTATAGGGGTTTGCCATAACCAGAGATGTATTGAATCTGCCTTACTTACTTCTCCACATTTGACTTCATGTAGTTTATATCAAAGTGGTGGTTAAGCAGATCTAATGAACTCTATCGAAAATAATTGGTCATTTTAACTCAAACCATGAGCATTAATTTAATTGGAAGTTTAATTTACAATACACTAAAATAATGTCACTAAGTACCCTCTAATGCTTAAATGAGAGTTGAACTGGACGATTTTGGCAGCGTGGCAAAATTAAGAGCGCAGACCGACTACCCTAGATATAAGACTTCTCTAATTTTCTATAGCAAATAGTATAACTTCTTTATGAATATATATCAGAAATACTTGATACATAAAATTAACCCAAGCAGAGTATACTCTAGTAGAAATCTTATAGGAGAAATTTGCATTAACATAGAAAAAAGCAAAATCTGTTTTGCAGCTTAAGTTTTCTCTGGGGCTTTGTTGAATCTTATTATTTTCTGTTTCTTTAATCTAAACATAAACACTGAATCCTAAATTCATGATACTCATCCATCAGTAGCTAGTTGATAGGATAAATGAATAGCAACTGGGGCTGCTAAGATTCATTACTTCATAGCAGAATTGGCAGCAGCAGTATAGAAGAACCTTTTTGCCCATATATATATATATGCATGCATGGAGCTATTATAAAAGAAATGGAAATAGATGTAGCCTCTCTGTGCTTAGAAAACTCACTGCAGTCACTATAATTTGAGGATTGTATGTCCTGTCCAAAACTCCTCCTGAAATCTGATGCCATTTTGGTGGTGTTGGGAGGTGAGGCTTTAACAGGTGGTTGGGTTGTTATGGTTAGGGCCTTTACCCTGTTATCAATCTCTTGAAAGTATACTGGCTGCTAGGAAAGTGTGTTACTGTAACAGGAGACTTTCTCTATGATTTTTCCTTTTCTAAATGCACCAACATGCCCTGTGGTTTTCTGTCTTGAGGAACAGCACAAGGCTCCATCAACACAGGATCTTAGACTTTTGGGACTTCACAATTATGAGCCAAAATAATGTTTTTCTTTATCAATTATCCCGACTTCAGTATTTCATGACTGCATAAAATACCAAATAAGAAAAGACAAAAGAAATGTGAGCCGAGAAGAGAAGTGGTATAAGTATTTGGATATAGGTGTTCCTTGTAACACTTGAATTTTTGAGACTTTGACTTTCATATATTCAGATTTTACTTCCTTGTGTATTTTTTTTAGACAAAAAGCAATCTAGTGGGTTTAAATCAAACTTGTAAAAATTTAATTTTAACAATGTCTATTATTCCTTATAGGAATTTAGGTTTGATCGCTTCTTAGAAGATGGTAAGAAGAAAACCACATTTTTCAAAGAAGGAAAGAAGCTGAAGACTTACGTTATACCATTTGGACTTGGAATAAGCAAATGTCCAGGCAGATATTTTGCAATTAATGAAATGAAGCTACTACTGATTATATTTTTAACTTATTTTGATTTAGAAATAATTGACAGGAAGCCTATAGGACTGAACCACAATCGTATGTTTTTAGGTGTTCAGCATCCCAATTCTGATATCTCATTTAGGTACAAGGCAAAATCATGGAGAAGCTGAAAGTGGCAGAGAAGCTGAGCAGAGAGGCTGCACTGCTGAACTCTATGATTTGTTGCACTCCCCTAAACGCAACCACTACTCTTGTTTGTTTGAAAATGGCAAATTTATATTTGATTGCAATGAATCCAGTTTGTTTTGGGTCACAAAACCTGTCATAAAATAGAGCAGCGTGATGGTGTAAAAAAATGTCATGGCAATCATTTCAGGATAAGGTAAAATAATGTTTTCAAGTTTGTACTTACTATGATTTTTATCATTTGTAGTGAATGTACTTTTCCAGTAATAAATTTAACCCAGGGTTATTTTTTTAAGTTACTGAAATTCTCTAATATGGTTTTATGTACTGCTGGAAAATTGTGCCATCGATGGACAGTCTAACAATTTCCAGTTTTCCAGAGAAGGGGGAAATTAAATCCCATGCGTTACACTGTATGAAATTGTTCCCTTCAAGTATAATAACAATAATGTCTACATCACCAGGGTACCTTTGCATTAAATGAGTTTTGCAAAAGATTAAATGTTCCAACTTCCCTTCAATATTTAATCATCCATAAATGCTCTTTATAACTTTGTATTCTACAGCTCAATAGAACACATTTAATTGTTGTGTAAGATGGCTCATGTTCAAGTTAGATACTGTTAAATTGTAATGTATAGAAAACACAAGGCCTATTATAGAGTTAGTAGTTACCCTAGACAATACTATTAGGCTTACTGTGGAGATAAATGTTGAAGTTATAATGCCATTGACGGTAGTATTGGTCTGTAGTGTAATCTGTGTTATATGAATGTTTCCATTTATATAAATTGAGAAATTAGGTAGAATTATTTATCCACAGCCGTTTGGACTTGAAGGTTACTTTATTTTTTAAGCTATCAAATTAAACTATATAAAATAGTTTTATCAGCCTGTATTGATTAGTAAAAGATTTCTACTACCAAATACCCCAGTGACTGACATTTGACATAAGTGGTGATACAAAATGTAAACTCACAGGCTAAATAATTAAACCAAATTAATTCATTCTGTATTAATTAGAAATTCTAATGCTTTGGAAATTTTTTATTGTTATTATAAAGGAGATTGGTTTAAAACAGCATTCTAAAATACTTACCATACTAGGTAATATAACATGGTAGCATTTCTTTTCTCCTTCCTAGAGCACAGCTTCTATGTATGCTGTCCACATGAAGGTCTACTGGCATGAACTCTAGTTTTGCTTTAATAGAGTTGTCTTTATTCTCCATGTCATTCGTTTTTTTAAAAAAAAATGCAAAAATGACCATTTATAATTATATAAATTTACAGAATACAAAGGGAGGTTATGACTCACAAAAAAGATGTCAAATGATTAAACCAACCCAGATTATTGAATCAAACCACCTTTGTTATAAGGTCATTTGAGATTTATCCTCGTAGCAACTTTTGACCATACAATGCTCTATTGTTAACTATATTCACAAAGAAATGTGCTAAAGCCTCTTCTCACACACACCTCCAAACGACCATCTTCAACCTGTCTGAGATTTTGTGCCTTTTGGTTATTTGCTCTACACTTTCCTCAGCCTCTGTAATCATCTTTCACTCTGTGCTTTAGTAAATTGGATTATTTTGGATTTCATATATATTCTAGTTTGATTTTCTGTTGTTATGATAAGATTATTGTGACTAAAAGTAACTTATGGGGAAAAGAATTTATTGGCGGTCATATTTCCTAATCACAATCCATTATTGAGGGAAATCAGAGCCAATACTCAAGGCAGGAATCTGATACAGAAACCACAGAAAAAGACTACATAGTGGCTTGCTCACTCTCTTGTGCTCATCTTGCTTTCTTATACAGTCCAGGTCCACAAGCCCAGGCAATGGTGCTGCCCACAGGCACTGGACTGTGTCATGTTAATCATCAGTTAGGACAGTCTCTCACAGACATGGCCACAGGCATCTGTGAAGTAAGGCTCCCTTTTCCTAGGTCCTCTATGTTGTAACAAGTTTAAAACAAAAGCTCATACACAGGTAGAGTGTATAGTATTAGCCTAGGCAAGGTTTCACTTAATGTTCTCTATGTCTACCTTGTTTCAAATGACAGAATTCATTTTTTTAAAATTAAGCAATATTCCATTGTGTGTGTATGCTGCATGGTCTTTATTGAAATGCTATCTTTAACTACCTCACCTCCTATAAACAATTCCATGATAGGTTTCACTTTCCTCAGAGGCCTCTGGCCCTTCTTCCTCTGAGGGCCTCTAGAGCTGATGTCGAGCACCCAGCATCTCAGCTTTCACACTTTCTTCCTCATGGCATTTCTAAGTTCAGTGATTGCATTTTTCAATTTGATAATTCATTGTTCTTTATTTCTACCTGGTCATATCTTGTAATATCTTTTTCCTTTAATGAACTTTCACTATCCCTTTATATACCTTTAAACATATTAAGCATGGTTTGTATTCTGAACCTGGTATCTTCAGCCTACTCCTGTTTTATGGGTCTGATTCTATAGTCCGCCTTTCCTTCACCTCTTCTGATGGCTTCACCACTGAGCCCATATTCCTTGGAATTTTACCTCTGGAAAATATTTCCGACCTGGGTTTAATGTTCATTCCACCAAGTATAATTTGTGTTTGATTTTGTCTTTCTATTTGTTTCTGTCTAATTCAGATTACTGTAACTGGTCAATTGGAATTTTTGAGAGGGGACATGTTACATTGTTTAGTAACCATGAGCCTTCAATGAAACCCTGTGATTAACAGTGTTTTGTTTGGGGAGAGTGTTGTTTGTTTTGTGTTACTTTCTTGCAGTTTGTTTGCTTACTTGTTTGTTTGTGAGACAGGGCCTCATTATGTAGTTCCAACTGTCCTGGACCTCAATATATGGACAAAGCCAGTATTTAACTCACAAAAAAAAAAAAAGCCTCTGCCTCCCAAGTGCTGGGATTAAACAGGAACTTAAAATCTATGATCAGGAATGGACAAGAAGGACATTTTTTTGTTTTGTTTGTTCATTTGTTTCAACCAGAAACAAATTAAGGCATGCAAATATATCTAGTTTTGTTCTGTGGAGCAAAGTCTATCCATCAAGTGTGTTGACTTTGAAAGTTACTGGCTTTATACAGAGGTTTGGATTTTACACACACACACAGACACACACACACGAGCACATAGGCACATATGCACACGTGCATGCTTATGCTGTGTTGAGCCCTAGACTTTGTCTTTTGCCTTCAACAAAACACATTATTGTTTTCTGTTTGATGTGTATTAGGATATGTGGTCTTCCTTAATAACTGGATGAAGATTCTTTTCATATTGTAAAATTCAACAATCAGTATACTTTCATGTTGCTATATCAGACAAAACCATATCAAATTAGTCTATATACTAACTTCTGCTTAATATATACTTAAAGATGTATATACAACTTTTAAATAAATAAAATGGTTGATGAAATATTATATGAAACAATTAGATGGAAATAAGGCACACATCTGCAACCCCAGCTTTTGGGACTAAGTAATTCCAGGACTATGTAGTAAGGCCCCATTTCTCATAAAACAAAAGTCATGGATTCTAGCTGGTTGGTTATCACCAACACATGTGAACTTATTTTGAACACACAATTGCAAAATTCAACAGAGATACATAAGCAACTTTTTGTCTTTTAAAAATTACTTTGGTGGCAAGAGAGATAGCTCAGCACTGAAGAGCACTTGCTGCTTTCACAGAGAACTGGGTATGAGTATTCTTTTATTTATTTAATTTTTTTCACTTATTTACTTTACATCTCACTCTCCCCTTCTGGTTACCCCTCTTACAATCCTTTCCCCATGCCCCTTCTTCTTCTCCTCTAAGTGGATAGGAGTCCCCTGGGTATTTCCCCCATCCTACCATGATACTTCAAGTCTCTTAGAGGCTAAGTGCTTCTTCTCCCATTGAGTCCAGACAAGGCAGTCCAGCTAGTAGAACATATACCACAGGCAAAAGCTTTTGTGATAGCTCCTATCCCAACTGTTCAGGACCCACATAAAGACCAAACTGCACATCTGCTACATATAGTTGGGGAGTCCTAGGTCCGGTGCATGTATGCTCTTTGGTTGGTGGTTCAGACTCTGAGAGCCCCAAGAGTCCAAGTTAGTTAACTCTATTGGTCTTCCTGCAGTGTTCCTATTCCTTTTGGAGTCCACAATCCTTCCTTCTGTTTTTCCATAAGAATCCCCAAGCTCCATCCACTGTTTGGCTGTAGGTGTCTATATCTGTCTGAGTCAACTGTTGGGTAGAACCTCTCAGAGGACAACATGTTCTTGTCTGCAAACATAAACCACCCAAAGACTCAACAAAGAAAGAGAACTTCAGATTGATTTCTCTTATGAACATTGATGCAAAAAGTACTCAATAAAATATTCGAAAACCAAATACAGGAACCCATCAAAGGCATCATCAATCAAGATCAAGTACCTATCACGCCAGGCATGCAGGGATATTTCAATATATGAAAATCCATCAACAGAATCTACCATATAAACAAACTGAAAGAAAAAATCATTTGATTATCTCATTAGATGCTGAGGATGGTTCTTAGCAGTCAGAGTAGGCAGCTTATAGCTGCAGCTCTAGGGGATCCAACACCCTTTTCTGGCCTCTGTGGACACCCACACACAGGAGGCATCCATACATGTAGCCACAAGTACATACACTTAAACAAAATTAAACATAAGTCTTTTTCTTATTTTGACTAGTTCTGAGACAAATTTGTATAATATTTTTGGTCGTATTCAGCCCCTTCCCTCAATTCCTCTAAGATGCATCCACTTCCCCTACCTGCATAACTTTGTGTCCTCTTATTTTTCTCCTCTCCTCAAGTACAGTCTGCTCTGTCCTTATACTCTTGGATATGTGGCTGTACTGGAGCCTGGTTGAACCACCAGTGACCACATACTTAAATAAAATTCACTTTCCTTTTCCTAGCAGATGCATCAATCTATGGGTGGAACAAAAACTCATTAGGAATCTGTTTAATACACTGTGTTCATTTAGCAGAATTATAGTGGTAGCTTCTCCTGTATGTTATATGCCATGTGTAGCCACAAACTCTTTGCTCCAATAGAAGTTCTAAGTATAGAAATCAACTTGTGATGTGGGCTTCAAGTGGAACCATAAAGTAATTGGTTAGCTCCATAATGTTTCTGCCACTATTGCGGCTGTGAGCATGTCTTACCAGACCATTCACTACTGTAGCTCATAGGGTTCATAGCTGGGGAAGACAGATGACTACTTTTTCCCCCTGGTTACATTCATAGCATCTTCCAGCAGTATGAATCCTAGCAATTAGGAATGAAGTTTCCAGGACAGTACCAGCTTGATTTCTCCATGGTTTATCACTCAACTATGCGCTGTCTTTAGAAAAAGGGTCTTACTATTAAATTTTTGATGCTAGCTAAAAACATTGGCAATAATGTATAATGTTAGGGGTCTATGTGACCTCTAAAAGAGATAACTTAGTCCTGGCACTGAGTGGGGCTTTTTATTTGTTGTTCCATGGTGTATAGGTTGGATTACTGTTGCTTCAATATAAGATGACTCCTTCAAACATTATTTTATATATGTGTATGCATATATTTTAGGATGATGATACAGGCCATGTGTTTGTTACAGGAGTATTTGATAATTATTGTTTCCTCATTCATTTATTTAAACAAATACTCACTTAGCATTTCCACTAGTTAAGTATGATGGTACTCATTATATTAACCTTCCCCTTCATATATATTATAAAGAGAAAAACATATAAATAACTTATTTGTTATATGTTAAGTTGTAAATAATAAATTTCTTTTTAAAATTATTTTAATATATGATTTAGTGTACCCTCCAAATAGGCCTTTTTCCCAGCAGCCATTAGAAAATAGTATTCTACAATAAATTGTCATAAACAAATTACACATGCTAAAAGCATATAGAAGGACCACCAAGATGATTCAGTGAGCAGTGCTGCCTGCCATCAATCCAGATGATCTGAGCTCCATCCCTGGAACCTATATGGTAGAAAGAGAGAATTATCTCTTACAACTTATCACCTGGCCTCTAGACAGGCACTCACACACTCATACCATACAAAATCATGCACATTCTCATACCTACGTACAATCACACACATACATAGGTGTGCATATATGCATACACATAGTTAGTCAATAAATGGCTAAATGTAAGTTTAAGGTACTGTAGTGATATGATAAAAAATATAACCAAAACAAAACACTAAATCTCCAGAATTTTGTAACTATTCCATATGTTCTAAACTTTTATCCTTTCATTATTACAGCTTCACCTACATTTTGAGTTAAATGAATATATAGTACTGTTTTATATCTGTGACCAATTATAATTCACATTTGATAGGTTAGCAGAGGCTCAATGCCCTGTTCCTAAGTCAGGCTTGCCGAAGAACAAGTTTGGCTGGTCTTTATATCTACTTTGTTCTGACTTTCCTACCCCTGTGGCTGTGCCAGCTCCATGTTGTCTCAGATCCCCAGTCACCATCAAGGAGATACCCACAATTCAAATATCCCTGTTCATGTGTGCTGACTTTATCATAAAAAGTGATTTGGATAATACTTCCTTTAAACAGC